AGATGGTTTTCTTGCTCATCGCTGACCTGGACAAGGAGATGACCGAGGCGGAGACGTCCGAGAAGGACTCGCAGGCCGACTACGAGGAGCTGATGAAGGACTCCGCCGACAAGCGGGCTTCGGACTCCAAGAGCCTCGCGGACAAGGAGTCTGCCAAGGCGGGCCTTCAGGGCGACCTGGAGAAGCTGAAGGACACGCTGAAGGAAGGCCAGACTGACTTGGCGAGCACGCTGAAGTACATCCATGACTTGCACATGGAGTGCGATTGGCTGCTCAAGTACTACGATGTGCGCAAGGAGATGCGTGCGAGCGAAGTTGACGCTCTTGGAAAGGCAAAAGCGGTCCTGAGCGGGGCGGACTACTCGCTGCTGCAGACGCGCACCAGCCGCTTCCTCCGGCGCTCCCAGTGAGCAGCCGCTTGGGCACGCTATCGCAGACGCCCCCCCCCCCAAGAAATTGAACCTTCCAACACCTAAGCGAATGGAGGGCAGGTCGTTTTCAAAACGCGTTCTCGCCTCGGCGCCGCGCACGGCGCACGTTCGTGTGAAAAGTGTCGGAATCAAGGCGAATGGTTTTCAATGTGTGGTTCATGCCTCAGCGCCGTGCACGTTCACTTTAAGTTGTTCCCAGCAGTTACACTGGTGCATGGCGAATCGTTTATAAAGCGTTGGTCTCGCCCTAGCGCCGCACACATTCGTCTTACAAGCGTTCAATGTTCCACTTTTCAGTGCGATTTATTTTCAAAATTGGGTTCTGGCTCAAGACTTCGTCATTTGTCAGAACCAATTGGCTTCTCATTCGCAGCAGCTACACGGATGGATGGTGGTTCATTTCAAAAGCAGGGGAAGTAGTTTGAGCTCTCTCTTCGTTTGATATTCATAAATATTCACATGTGATTTGATGCAGCATCGTGTGACTGACGCACACATGTAGTGTTCCGGTAACAACAAGTCGTTCTTTGCCAAAGGAGACCCTCGCATGAAGTTAATGATCCTGCGTGTTGGCAGTTCTGCCTGATGATGACGCCGTGTACCTACGTAACAAGCGCGATGTTGCGTCTGCGCGAGGCTTTCGAGGCGCGCCACGGCTCCATCCATTTGGTTCAGGCTGGACCTGAACCTTCGGACACCTTCTGTAGCCACTTCGGCTCAACCTTGCACCACCGCGGAGGTGCACAGGGACTACCCACAGCAACGTAGTGCAGCTTCGAACCTGATTCTTGCTCAGTGAGAATGGTCGCCGCCTGCCGCATGCTCCTCGCGGCCCTCCTGGCCGCGTCCGCGGCCAGCGCCGCGCAGGGCTCCGCGGCCGAGCTCGTCGCCAACCCGGTGCGCAAGGTGGTGACGTTGCTGCAGAAGATGCAGAAGTCAGTGGAGGCGGAGGGCGCGCGGGAGACCGAATTGTACGAGAAATTCATGTGTTACTGCAAAACGAACAAGGGCGGCCTCGAGAAGTCCATCGCCGACGCCGGCGCCAAGATCGAGCAGCTGACGGCGGACACCGAGGCCGCCGAGGCGGAGAAGGCGAAGACGGTCGAGAGCCTCGACCAGGCCAAGACGGACCGCGCCGACGCCAAGGCCGCCATGCAGGCCGCCACCGCGAATCGTGAGAAGGAGGCCGCCGCCTTCGCGAAGTTTCAGGCAGACTCCGTCGCGAACATCGGTGCCATCGTCAAGGCTGTGGCAGCGCTCAAGAAAGGCATGTCGGGGGCCTTCCTTCAGACTGACGCGGCCAACACCCTGAAGGTGCTCCTGTCCGACGTCAAGGTGAACGTGCCCGACTACGACCGCCAGCAGGTGCTGTCCTTCCTGTCCGGCAATCCGTTCAGCCAGGGCTACGCGTCGCAGTCCGGCGAGATCACCGGAATCCTGAAGCAGATGGGTGACGAGATGGCCACTGCGCTGGCCGAGGCAACGCACGAGGAGGAGAAAGCCATCCACATCTACAACGCTCTCATGGGCGCCAAGACCGACGAGGTCAACGCCCTCACCAAGGCGATCGAGACGAAGCTCCAGAGGAGCGGCGAGCTGGCCGTGTCCATCGCCGAGATGAAGAACGACAACGAGGACACCGCGGAGTCGAAGGCGCAGGACGAGAAGTTCCTCGCAGAGCTGGAGAAGGGATGCGCTACGAAGACGGCGGAGTGGGAGGCGCGCTGCAAGGTGCGCGCGGATGAGCTGCTGGCACTGGCTGAAACCATCAAGATCCTCAACGATGATGATGCCCTGGAATTGTTCAAGAAGACACTTCCTGGGGCCAGCGCTAGCTTCGTCGAGATTCGCATGAGCGCCGCATCTGTGCGGTCCCGCGCCCGCGCGATCTTGCAGCAGGCGTCCGCCAGGGCCGGCTCGAGCAGCTCCATGGTGGCCTTCATCGAGTACGCGCTGAGCGGCAAGAAGATCGGCTTCGAGAAGGTCATCGCCATGATCCAGCTGCCTGCGGCAAGTCCCGCCACCGTGGCAGCCCAGCATTCTGGGTGGCGACTTTTCAGGGGGGCACGGGAGGCCGTCACGTGCGATACCTCGTGTCCCAAGGCTTAGGATAGCCGTGATGAAGATGATGAAGATGATGTTAACGAGGAGGAGGAGGAGGAGGAGGAGGAGGAGGAAGAGGAAGGCAGTCAAACGTGGCATCCTTCGTCTTCACTTCTTCAGGAGCTCTCATGGAGCTCATTCGGGCCATCTTGGGGCTATCTTGGCGCCTCCTGTGGTGCAGTCCTGGGAGCCCCCCAGAGGATTATTGCAGAAACCCTACCATACAGCACTTGGCGTTCTACCACGCGTCATCGTGCCAGGGGGCATGCTGGCGGATCGACGAGATGGTTGCGACCCTGAAGAAGGAGCAGGAGGACGACGACAGCAAGAAGGAGTACTGCAGCACTGAACTGGACACCTCGGACGACAAGAAGAAGTCCCTCGAGAAGCACATCGCCGACACCGAGGCGAGCATCGCGTCGACCGAGGAGGGTATCGCCACTACCACCCAGGAGATCGCGGAGCTCACGGCCACCATCAAGGCGCTGGACGAGCAGGTGGCCGCAGCGACGGAGCAGAGGAAGGAGGAGAACGCCGACTACAAGCAGCTGATGTCCGACGACACCGCCGCCAAGGAGCTGCTGAAGATGGCCCTCAACCGCCTGAACAAGTTCTACAACCCCAAGATGTATGTTGCCCCAGCGAAGGTGGAGCGCACCACGATGAATGCGATCTCCGAGGACATGGCGTTCGTGCAGATCGCGGAGCACGACCAGAAGGCCGCCCCCCCGCCGCCGCCGGAGACCTTCGGCGTCTACGCCAAGAAGTCGGGGGAGCACGGCGGGGTGGTCCAGATGGTTTTCTTGCTCATCGCTGACCTGGACAAGGAGATGACCGAGGCGGAGACGTCCGAGAAGGACTCGCAGGCCGACTACGAGGAGCTGATGAAGGACTCCGCCGACAAGCGGGCTTCGGACTCCAAGAGCCTCGCGGACAAGGAGTCTGCCAAGGCGGGCCTTCAGGGCGACCTGGAGAAGCTGAAGGACACGCTGAAGGAAGGCCAGACTGACTTGGCGAGCACGCTGAAGTACATCCATGACTTGCACATGGAGTGCGATTGGCTGCTCAAGTACTACGATGTGCGCAAGGAGATGCGCGCGAGCGAAGTTGACGCTCTTGGAAAGGCAAAGGCGGTCCTGAGCGGGGCGGACTACTCGCTGCTGCAGACGCGCACCAGCCGCTTCCTCCAGCGCTCCCAGTGAGCAGCCGCCTGGACACGCTATCGCAGACGCCAGCAGGAACCGTCTGGGTAGCCTTCCCCCCCAACAAATTACCCTTCCAGCACCTTATCGGATGCAGGGCAGGTCGTTTTCAAAACAGGTTCTCGCCTTGGCGCCGCGCACGGTAGTTTGAAGAGTGTGCAGGTGCTTCACGGATGCAAGGCGAATAGTTTTCAACGTGTGGTTCACGCCTCAGCGCCGTGCACATTCATCTTAAGTTGTTTCCAGTAGTTACAGCGGTGCAGGGCGAATCATTTCCAAACCCCGGGTCTCGCTTAGGCGCCGCACACACTCGTCTTAAAAGTTTTCAGGTTTCCACTTGTGGAGGGATATCATTTTTCGAGATTGGGTTTTGGATGAAGATTTCTTCATTTGTTAGAACCCAGAGTTCTCACACACACAGCAGGTACACGGACAGGTGACGGTTCCTTGCAGACGCGGTGATGCCGTTTGATTTGTTGTTAGGTTTTGTTTCAGGGCGTCTCATGTTGTACAACTTGTGGTGATTGGCGTACACATTCATTTCGCAGTGATAACACACCCAGTCAGGAATTCATTACTTTCCAAATGGCCTTCGCAGAACATGTTCTTGAGGCTTATGGTCATGCGTGTTGGCAGCTCTGCCCGACGAGGACGCTGTGCCGCGGCTGCGCACGGTTCCCGAGGCGGGCCACAGCTTTGGAAACGGTTGGTGCGAGGAGGAGAAGGATACTTTCGCCGTAGCGCAGGGAGATTTTTTGCCGCCCGCGGCGGCGTGATCCGAGTCCGTTGCTCCTTGCTGCTCTGGGTGGGGCCAAGGCGCCATCCAGGCTGTCGAGCAGCGGAGCGACGATAACTGCAATCCTTTCATTGCCCCCGCTTGCTCATCCTCGTGTTCCTTCCTCTCGTTCTCCTTTTACTATTCCTCCTCGTGTTTCCCTTCCTCGTCCTATTCGCCCTCTGCTTCCGCTTCTCGAGATCAGTCCCCTCTCCCTCCTGCAGTCCACCCGCATATTAAGGATGAGCAATTTTCCAAGATTACCCGTGCATCCTTCCCCTTCGGCCCATCCTTGGCCGCTTTCGTTGGCCACGCCCCGCTCGCAAAGTGCCGACATGACCTTCAAGACCCTTGCATTCTTCTCGTGCGTCCTTTTTTTAACGGGTTGGATGTACCCTCCTCCTCCTCCTCTTCTTCCTATTCTTCTCCCTGCTCTTTCCTACTTGTTTCCCGTTTCTTACCATTTGCCATTCTTTACCCGTGCCGCAGGTGCATTTGCAAAACGAACAAGGGCTGCCTCGAGAAGTCCATCGCCGACGCCGACGCCAGAATCGAGCAGCTGACGGCGGACATCGAGGAGCATTCTTCATCGTCGCGTCCTCCTTTTCCTTCTCGTCTTCATCCTCGTCTGTATGACCATCATCCACCTTCATCTCTACCCTCCCTTCTTCCCCCTACTCCCTTCGCAACCTCCTCTGCCCCGCCTCCCCTCCTTTCATGCTCCGCCTCATCTGACTGCGGCTGTTTAACGTTTCTTGTTTCCTCCTGCTCACCAGCCTCATTATTCTCGTTACTCTCCTCCTGAATCTCCACCTCGCCTTGGTTCTCCTCTTGCCTTTACCTTCAAATGCTCCTCATCCTCTCCCTCATCCTGCATCCGCCTGCCCCGCCTGCAGGTCTTCCTCCTCCCCTTCCCTCCTCCTCCTCCTCATCCTCCTCCTCCTTCTCCTTGAGAGGACACTTCATCCTCCTCCTCCTCTTCTTCCTCCTCCTCTTCCCTTCTCCTCCCCCTCCTCCTCCTCCTCCTCCTTCTCCTTGAGAGGACACTTCGTCCGAGGGGGCTCCAGGGCAGGGCTTGACGGGATTTTCAATGGTCTCTCGCACCTGGTCTCTGACCCGAGGATCGAACGGCGGCCCCTTCGCGCGAGGCCTCCCCTCGCGACGGAGGCCCCTCTTCCCTTCTCCTCCTCCTCCTCCTCATCTTCTCCTCCTCCTCCTCCTCATCTTCTCCTCCTCCTCCTCCTCCTCATCTTCATTCTCCTCCTCCTCCTTCTCCTCCTTCTCCTCCTTCTCCTCCTTCTCCTCCTTCTCCTCCTTCTCCTCTCTCATCTTCTCCTCCTCCTCCTCCTCCTCCTCCCTCCTCTCCTCCTCATCTTCTCCTCCTCCCTCCTCCTCCTCCTCCTCCTCCTCCTCCTCCTCCTCCTCCTCCTCCCCTCTTCCCTTCTCCTTCTCCTTGAGAGGCGCTTTCGCGCGAAACCTCCCCTCGCGACGGGAGGCTCCCGTGCCCACGCTCACGAGAAGCCAGGCGTGCTGGCCACGCGTCTTTGGCCACCCCCAGGGAAACAAGCAAGAGAGAGAGAGAGGGAAACAAACAAGATTTCGATGGTCTCTCACCTGGTCCCTGACCTGATGATCGAACGGCGGCGCCTTCGCGCGAGACCTCCCCTCGCGACGGGAGGCTCCCGTGCCCACGCTCACGAAAAGCCAGGCGTGCTGGCCACGAGTCTTTGGCCACCCCCAGGGAAAAAAAACAAGAGAGAGAGAGAGAGTGCCCGTCGGTCCCGTCTGCCCCTCAGGAAGAATTAATCTTCGATTCCCCAGAAAGTATGGAAGCATATGGGGAGTGTGGGGGGGGAAGACAAACACCCAGAACATGTGGGAACAGGGATCCTGTCACTCGTGTCCATTTATGTGTGCGCCCTGGGGCCTCTTCGGTCTCCCCCATCTGCAGGCCGCTTGCCTGCTCCATCGCGTGCTCTGCGCAGGTCTGTCGGTTTCCGCATGGTCCGCTCAAGCTTCGGGGACTTCGGAGACCAGCCATTGCCCCATACGCTCATTCAGTCACGCAGCCAGGCAATAAACGTCACAGGTAATTCTCTTCGAATTCAATCCGTCAATCCCACCATGATCTCTCAGAAATTCAGTCCCCCCTTCAAGGATAGGATTTTCGATGGCCGCCGGGAGGCAGAGTTACGGCCACGCGCGCACGACAGCGTTTGGGCGTGCTGGCCCATCCTTTGAAGGAAGACGTGGCACCGAACGTCGTGGCCTTTTCGTTGCTAAATTCATCACCTCCCCAATTCCCCTCCCAGAGGGGGGCCCAACTTTGTTTACCTCTGTCCCAGCCGCTTGGCCGATAAGAGAATCTACCCACATTCACCGGAGTCCCTATTCACCAGTCCCTACCGTCGGGAAACATGCTAACGCCGTGGTGTAACCCCCACTTTCTGCTACAACCTTGCCGCTCCTGTGGGATTAGCAAGGGCTCCCACGAGGGCGCGAAGTTATTCGCGCTTCGCGCTTCGCGGTCCTCGTTCCTTCTCCCCCCTCCTCCTCGTCCTCCTTTTCTCCCTTTGGGGGGGCGGCGCGAGGGCGCGAAGTTATTCGCGCTTCGCGCTCCGCGGAGCGCGAAGCGCGAAGTTGGGAGCCCTAGATTAGGACGCGTGCCTCACTTTCATACTCGATCAACAAGTCCTCTGTTGTGCCCGTTGCACGCCAAGGTCCAGCTGCACCGATCGACCGTCACAAAGACCAGGGTGAACACACACACACACACACACACACTCACACACACGCACACACACACACACACACACGCACACACACACACACACACGCACACACACACACGCACGCACACACACACACACACACACACACACACACACGCACACACCCTGGTTTGCGAGGTCCTGAACGCCTGGGCGTGGCTTTTCCTAATGATCAGAGTCTATGCTGTAGATCTGCGCTGTGGGTCATTCTGTGACCGATTTGGGACCTCTTGGGACCCTCTGCATGCTTTCCTGCTGCTCTGGCAGGTTCCGACATCATGATCTGCGCTGTTGATTTCACCTGTGGGCTGTCCTGTGACAGCCCGCCGCCGGCGCCGCCCCGTCGCCGCCTCGTCGCCGCCACGTCCTCCGCCCATCGCCTTGGGCCAGTCTGCCAGTCTGGCGGCTGTGTTGCCACCGTCGCCGCCCCGTCGCCGCGATTGCACCACGCATATTGCACAACATAAGTTCCCCTTTCCAAAAAATGAATCGGATCCCCCCCTCCGGCTTTATCGGTACACTTTTTTGTGTAGCAGTTTACATATGATTTTGCCCCATCGTCCATCCTAAATATGACTTCGTACCATCCCAGCCGAGCCGGGTTCGACCCCCTTTGCCATCCTCTGCAAAATATGCTATGCGCGCACATTGTTTTATCAAACATCTAAGTGTCCAAGAATCCCTTGTAAAAAAAGTGTCGTCGCGCGTCAAAAACCCTTGGTTCCGTAAGGATTTCAAAATCGAGCGTCCGAATAAATATGAAAACACAGTGTCGCAACAGCGATGTCCAAGAAAAGTGTGCGCGTGCTCTTGCGAGTTCTTAAGGAAGCCATAGTTTGTTCAACATGTTGAGAACATGCTACCAAACGGGCTTCGTTCGCGCGCATGTCAAAATCGTTCGAACACACTTGCGCGCGTTCCGTCGCGAGAAATCTTCGGCAAACGATAAGACGACGTGCGCGCGCGCGTCGTCGCGCGCGCATGCCGGCATCCTTCAAGAGCCGTCGGTTCCGGAAGGATTTAAAAACCGACCGGCCAAACATACAAAACACATGGTTGCGCGCGCTCTTGCGAGTTCTTGAGAAAACCATTGCTTATTCTAACATTTCGATGGGATTCTGCCCAGTGGACCTCTGGCGCCGCATGCCGACATCATTCGCGCGCCTTTGCGCGCGTGCTGGGGGGGCACGATCCGCGTCAAAACCACGCGGGCCACTCGCGCGTCGGCAGCGCGCGCATGTCAAACTCTTTCTTAAATCTTCACCGCCGACGCGAGGACGCCGTCATCGTCGTCGGCGCGATCAGCATCGGTGCCCGCACTGGCCGCGCCGTCGTGAGTGCGAACATCGTCACCAGCCCCGCTGTGATCATCATCGCGTCTACCGTCGTCGGCGTTGCCATGGCACCGCGCCCACCCAAGTCGCCGACTCGCATTGAAGCGCCCGCTGGGATGCACCCAGCGGCAATCGCCGCCGCGGCCGCGTCTGCGGCGCCAAACTAGCTGGCCGCCGCGCGCGCGCTAGGCGCGGCCGCGGAGATGCACCAGCCAGCGCCAAACATGCATCGCAATCGTCACCGCGTGGGTTTTGCAGATCAAGTAGCGGGTGGGCAGGTGGGATGTTTGCAAGGGCATGGGATGGGCCAGCTCTTCTGTTAAAACAGATTGCAACACAGCGATTGCACCGCGTGAATTGCATCACGCACATCTATGTGCGTCACAACACGCACCACAGATATTGCACCACATGGAATCTCCTTTCTAGGAAGACCCCCCCTCCCCCCGGGATTATCGGCACACCTTTCTGCGTTGCAATGTGCGTATGATTCTGCCCCATCGCCCATCCGAGCTGTGAATTCAAGCCATCCCAGGCAGGCCGGCATCGCCCCCCCCGTCATCTTCTGCACCACAAAACTACGCGCGCACACTCGCTCATCACAAATCATCCGTTTTCAAGATCCCCGTGGAAAAAATGGGACGAAGCGCACGCGCGCGCGTCGTCGCGCGCGCATGCCGGAATCCTTCAGAAACTTTCGGTAACGTAAGGATTTCAAAATCAAGTGTCCGAAACATCCAAAACGCATGAGTTGTCGCAACACGGATCCAAAACATGGTTGCAAGCGCGCCCCTGTGAATTCTTAAAAACCATGGGCTGCGTTAAACATGTTCTGAGCGCGATGCCGAACGAGCTTCGCGCGCATGTCGAAATCGTTCGAACGCCCTTGCGCGCGTGCCGTCGCGGAAATCCTTCTTGCAGAAACGCGGGGCGAAGTGCGCGCGCATCGTCGCGCGCGCATGCCGAAATCCGCAGGAAACCAGCAGTTCCGCAGCAGTTTCAAACCGATCGCCCAAAAAACATGTCACCGCGCACATGGCTTCGCACAAAAGAAAGACGCGCGCTCGCGCTTTTGCGAGCTCTGAAGAAAACAATAGGTTTCTCAACATTATCACGGCATCTTGCCAAACGGGCCTCTGGCGCCGCATGTCATCATCATTCGCTCGCCCTCGCGCGCGCTGGGGGGGGGCGCGATCCGCGGCGCAGAATGCCGCGCGGGCCGCTCTCGCGCGTCGGCCGCGCGCGCGCGTCGAACTCTTTCCGAAACCTTCATCGACGACGCGAGGGCGCCGCGATCGTCGTCGGCGCGATCAGCGTCGACGCCCGCGCTGGCCGCGCCGTCGTCGTTGTCGATGTCGTTGCCAGCATCGCTGCTCGCTGCTATCATCGTTGTTGTCTTCCGTTGTCGACGTCGCCGCGGTGCCGCGCCCGCCCGAGTCGCCGACTTGCACTGAAGTGCCCGCTGGGGCGCG